ACATTTAAAATTGGTTTACCTCAGGATGCTGTGCAGAAAAATGGGTGAAGGATAAACTGTCTAGACGCAGCCCCACTTAGCAGGACGGCCCTCTCGTACTACCGGGTGCCCCGACCCATGGTGACCATGACACTCATCCTGGTGGCATGCCGCGTGTATTGGTTTAGCGTTGTCCCGTGTTGTCCTAGAACGAAATGGGTGTCAGGCTGTCACCATTCACACAATTTTTTTTTTTTTTAAAAGAAACCTTTACCAAGGGAGCATCTTGGGACTCTCTGTTTTTAAAACCTCCTGAACCATGACTTGGAGCCAGCAGAGTAGGCTGTGGCTGTGGACTTCAGCACAAGCATCAACATTGCTGATCAAGAAATTACAATTTACGTCCATTCCAAGTTGTAAATGCTAGTCTTTTTTTTTTTTTTATTCCAATAAAAAAAGACCATTAACTTAAAGTGGTGTTACATGCTTTGTAAAGCTGAGATCTCAACGGGGACAAGGCAGGCGGAGGAGAGGTCAGTACCTTTAAAAGCCCAAAGCCCAGCATTGGGCTTGCCCTCCCGCCCTCCCCTCCCTCCTGACGTCCCAGCACCAACCTCTTGAGCCTGAGACCTTGCCTAAAACAGGGCAGATAGCAGTTGCTTCATCCTATCTATGGACATGTAGGTCTACTTGTATTTTCACTGGGGGGGGGGGGGGGGGGGGTAGGGTGGGGGGAGTGAACCCTAGTAACTTAATGATTTATTCAGGCAGTGGCGCTCTTCGTAATGAAGGAAAAAAAACCACTTTTTTTCAAGCATGTACTTAGGGGTTCTTCTCAATCGTGCTGCTGATTACCTGTTTTATGTAACTACTTGAGACCATCTGTGCAAGAGACATGATTTAGTGTGTCTTGTCTGTAATTCGATCCTTGCTGTGTGGTAGAAGCAGTAGTCCCTTCTAAGCCAGTCTTTATGCCTAAAAGACACTACCGGTCACCTTTGATTCATGATTTTTAATTTATGATGCTACTTTTCCTTAGCCTCCTTTTCCTCCCCGCCCCCCCAAAGTTGACTTGACTTTGCTCCCCTCCTCCGTGCCCCCAAGTAGAACTAATGCTAGCCTCCAGCCTGGAGGGGATTTTGTGTCTAATGATAAACCTGTAACCAAAACTGAGATAGATGCTGGTACTGGTCTTCGCAGTGGGATTGGTGTGCTTTAAAAACCCCTTTAAAGGAATATTGCAACCAGTGCAGAACTCTTTTTGAAATGCAGGCTGGATGTGCATTTGGTTTCTCACCAGGAAGGAGCGTTGGGTTTTTGAGTGTTTCTGTGGGAGGTTTTAATTTGCCAGGGAACCGCGGCAGGCTGCTAGCGAGGCAGCAAGAAGCTCTTGGCAGCCAAATGGGTGCGTTCAGGGCTGATTTATAGAGACCCTTGGCTTCTCCCTCTCCTACTCCCTGTCTTTCTGGCATTTTGCAGCTTGCTAGATTTCCTGCCAGAGGGATAGGTCAGAGCAGTGGAGAGGAACCTGCCCATTTACTTCTGCCGTTGGTCCTTAGACTGGGTGGTTGTCAAAGAGACAATGGAGCTGGAGGGGACTTTCACAGTTCCCTGAATCTGGAAGGCACACCTGAGAACACCTTGGAGGTTCTTCAGGTGAAAGGGAGGACCGAGGGCTCCTGGATGTTTCTTGCAAGGGAGGCCAAGTGTTGACCCATTCAGGCCTGTGTCTGATGGCTTCTTGGTGGTTTGAAAGAGAGTTGGGGGTAATTTAACTTGTTTTTAAAACTTTGCCTTCTGTCTTAACTCTTCCGTCAAGTCTTTTTCTAGAAGCTGGGTGGGCTCCATTTTAGCGGTCCCACAGTCCTTCTGAAAAGACTGCTTTTGAAACCAGATTCTTAACATGGCTAGCATCCTGTTTGGGAAGCAAGCCTTTCCCCCCGGGGAGTGCTGAGTCCCCAGCTTGGTGCAGAGGGCGGCCCTGTCCACTGGAGCCTTTTCCCTCTGGCTTTTGAGGGGAAGACCAGCCCAGGTGGGGTCTTTGCAGGCTGCATGCATTTGTGAGAGGAAATAGCTGGGTGTTGGGTCCGTACCCTGAAAGTTGGTTAGCACCTCCCTGTAAACTCCTGCCCCTTACTTCTAACTGCTCTATAAATATATACATATATTTATATATATAAAGTGACTAACTGGCATCCCGCTTGAGCCTGAGACTTGCCATAAGAAACTGCTGAGTCCTTGGCAAACACTTTCATAGTTTTGTTCTCCATCTGTTGGGGGTAGGTGTTGAGCAAGGCAAATTCATCTCGATGTTTCAGATGGGCTTTTGACGCACTGTTGCCAAGGAAGGCTTTTTCTGATTTTTAGACAAACGAATTTTTGCACACTTTAATTGGTGTCTTTCGGCAACTTAAACACACTGAAAATTAGCTACTGTACATATTTTTATATTCTCTTTATAAATGCATGTCTGACTCTACCTGTAACCCGTGTTGTGATGAGTGGCCGTCCAGTAGGCCTTCCCGAGTGCCGCTGTGGCCTGTCAAGAGTGGCAGCATATTATTAGCCCCTCAGCATACTGGGAACTTCTTCCTAAACAAAGAATGTAAATTTGGTCAAAAGTCTGCTCTTTGGTTCATTCAAGTGATTTTAAACATTTGAATTATTATATATCCGAAGTACACTATCCTTTCAGCAGTGACGAGATTTCCACGAATGTGTCTTAACCTATCCCCTTCAGCTGGAAGTTAAGTATTTTCCTTTTTTTTTTGATCCCTCGAAGTTGTCTTGTAGGAGACAAATTCTTTGCTGTCCGTATCCCTTGGAGTAAGAAGGTAGCGGCATGGGTGGAGCGTGTGTTCTTTCTCCAGCTCTTCTAATGTTCCTTAAACACGTCTGTAGCAAAGATGGCGGGAGTTCTGGTAACAGAAGGTACCCTTCACCGTGGCAATTTTAAAAGGAGATGTACTTGAACGTTTCTGTAAATCTTGAGATAAACTGTTTGGAGATTTAACCACCTCTCTGATGGGGGACCAACTCTATGGAAATTGTAAATAAGTTTTATTTATAAACCTGGCACTGTATTCAATAAACATTTCTGCAGCCTTTCATCTCTAACTGCGAACTGTGTAGGTTTTTAGCTTGTATAGCCTCCAGTCCCTTCTGCTTAATGAACAAGGTACTCCTGCCCCCAGATGTAATTCCACCCAGGCTCTAGGACGGTAGGTGAGCAGGAGGGCCCCGAAACACCACGGACACATCTCACGACAGCTCCGCTCTAGTTTTCAGTTCAGGGGTTAATAGCTGACATTTGAACACCATCTTGTGGCGTATTATCGTATTCGTGCTTGCTTTACGTGGGAAAAGGCACACCAGAAAAAGATTCACCTCCGTGTTAGTCCCAAGTGCCTTTAGGAATGGCATGAAGAAATACACTTTAAAAATTGGACGGGAATTTTAAATTGCATAAGCACTTTGCCCATGGCAAGAGCAGGGCAGCGGAGGAAAGGGGATGGGAGGCAACTTTCCAGCCCTGGAGTTGAAACCTACCCCTTAATCAGTCCTGTTCCAGACCCTGATCCTGGGCAAAGTTCTGTAGCAGGAAAGGCCACCTCTGTTTCCAGAAGGATCTTTTCCAGGCTGCCTTGCCTGTTTCCTTCTACACAAAAGCAGCAAAGGGGGCTGAAAAGAAGGGGGAAGATGACAGGGAACGCCGCTGCTTTGGTCAGAAGGCTCGAGCCCCACTTGCAGGGAGCATTGGGCTCCTCCTGTGTACAGGAGCTGACCAAGGATGTGGATGCTGCCGTGGGGACAGAACCCTCTGCCCTGACGTTTTTGGCCTGGGTCTTAGCTTGGGTTTTGTCCCTCTAGCTCTGGGCAGGCACTTTGCTTCTCTGGGCCTCATTTTCCCCCTTGGTTAAAATAAGAGTATTGGACTAAGTGGCTTTCTGGAATTCTGACCAACCCAGCTTGGCATCACTTGTTTAAATTGAAATTGCAGCCTAGGGTGCCTGGGTGGCAGCCGGTTAAGTGTCTGCCCTCAGCTCCGTCACGATCCCGGGGTCCTGGGTTGGAGACCCGCATCAGCTCCCTGCTCATCAGGGAGTCTGCTTCTCCCTCTGACCCTCCCCCTGCTCGTGTTCTCTCTCTCCCTCCCTCTCTCTCTCTCTTTCTCTCTCTCACATGCGTGCTTTCTCAAATAAATGAGAAATAAAACCTAAAAAAAAAAAAATTGCGGCCTCAAGGGTGGGAGGCAAAATATGTGGGCGTGCTGTATGCTCTGAGGTGACATGGGGTTTTTAGTGTCAGCAGCTCCGTGTTGGGGTGGAGTGGAGGTTAAGCTTGCTGTTAGACTGTGATGTAATATTGGAACGTGGGTCAGAGAAACTGATCATTAAGTGACTTCCATCCTCCTCCCAGGATGGAAATAGGAAGCTCCCACTTTGCCTGCAAGAGATTCAGTCCAAGTGGCAACGTCATCTGGATTTTCAGCAGCTTTGGTTCAGGAAACACACACACACACACACACACACACAC